TTATATACTGCTTTACGGTGCTTTACAGTCCTCTCTAAGCAGTTTATAGATTCAGCATATCGCCCCCAGTAATTTGGGTCCTCGTTTTACTGATCTTGGAGGGGTGGAAGACTGAGTCAAATTTGAGCCAGTCGGAATCAAACTACCGGTAGCCGGAAGTCAGCAGAAATATCCTGCAGTACTGCATTGTAAGGCAGGGAGGGAGGGGAGAGGAGGGAGGAAGGAAGGGAGGGAGGAAGGAAGGAGAAAAGGGAGGGAGAAGGGGAAAAAAAGGAAAGTAAGATATACTTATATACCGCTTTACAGTCCTCTCTAAGCAATTTATAGATTCAGCATATCTCCCTCAGTAATTTGGGTCCTCGTTTTGCTGATCTTGGAGGGGTGGAAGACTGAGTCAATTTTGAGCCAGTCGGAATCAAACTACCGGTAGCCGGCAGTCAGCAGAAATAGCCTGCAGTACTGCATTCTAAGGGAGGAAGGGGAGGGAGGGAGGGAGGGAGGAAGGAAGGAAGGAAGGAGAAAAGGTAGGGAGAAGGGGAAAAAAGGAAAGTAAATATCAATAGCCCTTAGACTTATATACCGCTTTACAGTGTTTTACAGTCCTCTCTAAGCAGTTTATAGATTCAGCATATCGCCCCCGGTAATTTGGGTCCTCGTTTTACTGATCTTGGAGGCCTGGAAGACTGAGTCAATTTTGAGCCAGTCGGAATCAAACTACCAGTAGCCGGCAGTCAGCAGAAATAGCCTGCAGTACTGCATTGTAAGGGGGGGAGGGAGATGAGGGAGGAAGGAAGGAAGAAGGAAGGAAGGAAGGAGAAAAGGGAGGGAAAAAGGGGAAAAAAGGAAAGTAAGAAGCAATAGCAATAGCCCTTAGACTTATATACCGCTATACAGTGCTTTACAGTCCTCTCTAAGCAGTTTATAGATTCAGCATATCGCCCCAGTAATTTGGGTCCTCGTTTTACTGATCTTGGAGGGGTGGAAGACTGAGTCAACCTTGAGCCAGTCGGAATCAAACTACCGATAGCCAGCAGTCAGCAGAAATATCCTCCAATACTGCATTGTAAGGAAGGGAGGGAGAGGAGGGAGGGAGGGAGGAAGGAAGGAAGGAAGGAGAAAAGGGAGGGAGAAAGGNTAACGCTAAACCTAACGCTAACCCTTAACCTAACGCTAAACGTAACCCTAACGCTCTACACCTAACCCTAACCCTTAACCTAACCCTAACGCTAACCCTAAACCTAACGCTTACCTTTCTGTGAATCGGCTTGCTTTAAAATTAATAAAATTAATTTTATTAATTTTTATTTTAATTTTTCGATGTTTTTCGTCGCGCTGTGATGACGTCACAGATGCGATTTCATCGATCGCGCTTTTGTCGTCCGCGCTTTTGACGGGTCACGGTGAAGGAATGTGTGTTTTTGTTTTATTTTTATCATTATAATGTACACTGAAGGTGGCATTTAATTTCGTTGCACGAGGTGCAATGACAATAAAGTAAACTAACGAACTAAAAAGAGGATTGAGGAGGGGCAGGTGGGCTGCTGTGGGATCCATCCAGAAAAACCTTGCAAAACTGGTGCGGCAGTCCTCGGCTTACGACTAAAATTGAGCCCCCAAATTTCTGTAGAAAACCGGTCGTGGGTCACATTTTTTCAGTGCGGCTCTAACTTTCAGCGGTCACTGAACAAACTGTTGTAAGTCGAGGGCTACCTGTAGTCCACCACCTCTAAAGGGCATCAGGTTGGATGGGCATCCCGGGCTTACAATCAAACAGATTTCTTTCTTTCTTTCTTTCTTTCTTTCTTTCTTTCTTTCTTTCTTTCTTTCTTTCTCTTTCTTTCTTTCTCTCTGTGTCTGTTTCTCTCTCTTTGTCTCTCTCTCTATCTCTCTCTCTCTTTGTCTCTCTCTGTTTCTCTCTTTGTCTGTTTCTCTCTCTCTCTCTTTCTCTGTCTGTTTTTTTCTCTCTCTTTTTCTGTTTCTCTCTCTCTCTGTGTCTGTTTCTCTCTCTCTGTCTCTGTTTCTCTCTCTCTCCCTTTGTCTCTCTCTGTTTCTCTCTCTCTTTCTCTGTTTCTGTCTCTGTTTCTCTCTCTCTCTCTTTGTCTCTGTTTCTCTCTCTTTGTCTGTCTCTGTTTCTCTCTTTGTCTGTTTCTCTCTCTTTTTCTCTTTCTTTCTCTTTTTCTCTGTTTCTCTCTTTTTCTCTGTTTCTCTCTCTGTCTCTCTTTCTCTCTCTCCCTTTGTCTCTCTCTCTCTCTCTTTGTCTCTGTTTCTCTCTGTCTCTGTTTCTCTCTTTTTCTCTTGTCTGTTTCTCTCTCTCTGTCTCCCTCTCTCTCTTTGTCTGTCTCTGTTTCTCTCTCTCTCTCTTTCCTCTCTCTCTCTCCCACACACACACTTTCTCTTCTTGCTTTCTTCCTGGCCAGAATGCGCCAAAGCTTTCCATGCGGCGGGATCCCAATTGGTGCTGTGTGGCCGAAGTCGAGAGAGGCTTCAGGATGTTCTCCAGGAATTATCTGCTGCCGCTGACGCCCCCAAAAACGTGAGTAGTTCTTTATCCTCTCAATTGAGACTTTGATGTTACAAATTAGGCAAAACAAGGACATAAAGGGATTGAAGGAATACAAAGTGCAGGCCTTTGCAGACGATCTAGCATTTATCATAGAGGAACCCTTAGAAACTCGACTAAAACTATTACAAGACTCGGTAAAGTGGCAGGGCTTAAAATAAATAAAGAGAAAACTAAAATATTAACTAAGAATTTAACCAAAAGAGCGGCAGTGATTCACTTAACAACCGTGGCAAGACAGGCTGTAAAATGGGGCAAAACTCACTTCACAAATGAGTTTAGCATTTAGCAACGGAGTTTGGCATTTGCTAAACTCATTTAGCAACGGAAATTTTGGTGCTCGTTGTAGTCATAAGCTGAGGAGTACCTAAACCATATCAGGCGAGGCTGCAAATGCTGCAGCTGAAAAGATTTGGGTGCAAAATGTTGTGAGTTTTTAATTCCCCCCCCCCCCCCCAATTTTCACAGGACCACAAACATCACATTGTGGTTTTTGATCTCTCGGATATCAAAGCGGTCGTGAGTGCCGCGAAGGAGATTTTGAGCTGCGTGGATCATGTGGATATTTTAATTAACAACGCCGGGATCAGCTACCGGGGCACCATAGCAGAGACCGTCATAGAGGTGGACCGGAAAGTGATGGAAACCAATTATTTTGGTCCTGTCGCTTTGACAAAAGGTGAGGCTCACGACGTCGGTTTCCACTTCCAGGTGAGAAAAGACCAAAAAGAAAATATAAAAAAAAAACCAGATCCAAGCAATGTAGCAAAATCATGAATTAAATAAATAAAGGGAAGAATAGAATAGAGAGAGTGCAGTTTAGCCCTGGATTAACAACCATTGTTTCAGGACACTTGGCAACGGGAATGCACTTGTGATGGATGCAACCGTCATTTTTGTCTTTATAGCAACAGCACTTAAGACTTATATACCGCTTTACGGTGCTTTACAGTCCTCTCTAAGCAGTTTATAGATTCAGCATATCGCCCCCAGTAATTTGGGTCCTCGTTTTACTGATCTTGGAGGGGTGGAAGACTGAGTCAAATTTGAGCCAGTCGGAATCAAACTACCGGTAGCCGGAAGTCAGCAGAAATATCCTGCAGTACTGCATTGTAAGGCAGGGAGGGAGGGGAGAGGAGGGAGGAAGGAAGGGAGGGAGGAAGGAAGGAAGGAAGGAAGGAAGGAAGGAAGGAANGTGGCGCAGTGGTTAGAGTGCAGTACTGCAGGCTACTTCAGCTGACTGCAGTTCAGCGGGTCTAATCTCACCGGCTCAGGGTTGACTCAGCCTTCCATCCTTCCGAGGTGGGTAAAATGAGGACCCAGATTGTTGTTGTTGGGGGCAATATGCTGACTCTAAACCACTTAGAGAGGGCTGAAGGCCCTCTGAAGCGGTATATAAGTCTAACTGCTATTGCTATTGCTAAGTCAAGGACTACCTGTACTCCAGGGAAGTATTTAGTGATCCTATTAGATCTCTCCCTTCCTAATCAGGTGCAGTTCCAATCCAGATCGTTACTATTTCCTTCTACCCCTATCATTACTCTTAAGTAAAGAAAAGAAACTGGGCCTCCTTGTTTTGTGACTCCCCCGATGGGTTCATTTGCCCCTCATCAGATGAAGATCATTCAGACAGAAATACAAACCATGGTGCAAAAAACTGAGACTTTATAAGGTTTATAACTTTATAAGGTTTGGCGTATAATGCGTGAACATAATTGGTTTATCATTCTGCAGCTTGCAGTTTAGCATAGTGGGCCAACTTTGATCATGACAATTTGAACTAAATATGAAACATGTTTAGTTTGGACATACTTTCCTTGTAGTGTTTCGTGAAATACAACTGAGATAAAACTAGAAACAGTTCTCTATCTTCTTCCGTGTATGTATTTGGAAATGTTGTAGTTGTCACATAATGTTTCATGCCACGTTGTTCACATAACCCCCCTTTTGGGCGAAAAAACCCCAGGGGTCTGGCCATGTCCATAGGCTGCATGTGGCCCTGGACAGCTCATAATGTGGCCCCACAAGACTGTAAATAATAATAATAAAGGAAGTTTGTTATTTATGTACATTAACTCCGTGACCCCACAATTGCACGATAGCCATATGCGCGCTGACAAAATAGCGGCGATTAAAACGCAACGTCAAAATCGTGCCGACAAATTCGCGCCGATAAAATCGCGACGACAAAAGCGCATTGACAAGCACAATAAAATTGAAAACATTTTAAGGTTAGGGTTATAACGTACGTATACGCGTCCCTCTATGTTAAAGTCCCAGCACACTCGTCTATAGTTTGTTGATGACGCGATTTTGTCGTCGCGCATTTGTCGTCGCGCTATTGTCGAAAATGAATTAGCGATTTTGACGGCGCTCACTTGTCCATCGCGGTTTTGTCGGCGCGCATATGTCTATCGCGCATTTGTCGGCGAACCCACGAACTCTAAAGGCTGAAGACAATTCCTCTTTGCTGAGTGCAGCCTGAGTAAGCCAAAATGTTGGACACCTACAGCCCATTACATCAGAAATTAGTGTTGACTTGGAGATAGATGTCTAATTAGGGAGAAAAAAAAGATGTAGGCTTTCAGCCACATGAACATAAAAAATGTAACATGCTGTTGCTTACATTTGCAAATACTTGCAAAAAAGAAATATTA